AACTAGTACGGTCCGACCTACGCAAAACCGCCAAAAACGAAAGAAAGCAATATAAAAAACAGAATCTCGAGGGCCAAAGGTTTACTTTCACAAGAAATCACTAGAATTTACTGTAAAATACCAATTTTAATGGCATCGAGAGCTTTTGATCCTTTTCACAAGAATAAACTTTCTCAGTGTGAACAGCTCAAGAATGGATAGAGAAAAACTAGGGTTTTGCGAGGATAGTAGAAGAGTTAGATGAATATCTCTACATGTCATGCGAGGTAATGAAGTGACAATGAGGGTTTTGAAGAGTGCTCTAGAGAGAGAGAGAGAGAGAGAGAGAGGACTTTATCTGCTTAAGAAAATTGCAGACTTCTACAATAAACGAACAGATATAATAAAACTAGTTTCTGGCATAAAACAGAAGACACCAGGTAATGTACATTTTTCTGTGGGAATGACTATATTAACCCTTGAATTTTAATGCAATCGCAGGGATATTCTCTTCTAGTGCAGATATACCATGCTCCCGAGGGAGCATAGTTTACTTCTACTCCCTAAAGCTACTTGGGAGGATTTTTTCAATCTAAAATTTTTGGAATCACTTAAAAATTACTAGAGAGTATTCTCAAAAAGAGAAATTGAAATCTGAGTTTCTAACACTTATATCTTACCATCTCAAAATTGGATGGTCACCATTCAATCTCGAGACATTTTTCAAGTGCACAGAGGGCACAATTAGGAAGTTTTTTATTGAGCTTAATCTATAGGTTGAAAAGGTTCCATCCCCAAATTTTGAGGTCATAAAATTAATTCTAAGGAAATCCCTGCATCATAGCCTCCACGTTTTTAGATCTTCTATACGCTTCCACCCCAAGGAAGGGACAAGAGTCAATTTTTGTATAGACCTCTGGTTGGGCCATCGCCCACTCTCGCTTTATTTCCCTAATCTCTTCAACTTGGCTAGAAATTCCAGCGCCTTCATCGAAGATCTTTTCGAGCCGTTTGGGAACACTAGGTCATGGAATTCTGGCTTTCACAGGCTTCTATGTGACGAATAGATCCCCGCCTTCCTCAAACTCCTCCCTTCTACATTCCTCTTCCTTCTCTCGGTGAGGATAAAATTATATGGACCTCACCTTCTTCTAGGATCATCTTTGTATCCTCCTTTCACCGCCTTATCTCCCCCCAACAATACAGCCCTCGTGACAGTTAACCATTGCTAAAGCTTGGATTAAATTTATTCCTCCTAGATTACAGGTTTTTAATGGGGTCGGGCTCTGGGAAAGAGTCCTTTCCATGGACCAACTCCAAAGAAAAGGCCTGAAAATCCCTAACAGATGCGCTATGTGCCTATCGGAGGAGGAAACACACTCCCACTTATTCATCCACTACACGTTTGCAAGTCAGCTCTGGGAGCACTTGCTTCAACTGTTTGGTTGGTCATGGGTCTCAGCGGAATAAGTTCCGCAGCATTTCCAGCAAATGCTATTCCTATCATGGCCCAAATCAGGTGCTACACTTTGGAAGGCAGAAGTGGTGGACACTCTCTGGTCGATCTGGAAGGAACGCAACAATAGAATCTTTCGGGGGCAGCAGTCTCACAGTCAGAAAGTACTGGAATCCATCAAATCCATGGTGATCTTCTGGGCCACCAACCACAACCATTTCAAGCTTCACTCCGCCTTTGACATACACCTCAACTGGACCACCATCCTCCACCAGAAGCCCAGGTAGGTGACCCGTTCTTCCCTCTGGAGACCCTTGGAGCAGGGCCACACCAAATTCAATTTCGACGGATGCTTCCTTGGTAACCCTGGCCTGGCGGGCATCGGGGGTATCTTCGGAAACCACCAGGGCCTCTCTCTCCTGACCTTGGCCTCCCCCATTGGTATCGCAGTTTACACCTTGGCAGAAGCCCGTGCCGTTTTGGAAGGCCTCAAATGTTACAACCCTTCATGCAGCCCTGTTTTGGTAGTAGAGGGTGACTCAAGAAATGTAATTTCCTGGGCCTCACGAAGGGCTGCGCCACCTTGGAAACTATTGACTATCTCTGATGAGATTTACAACATTTGCAGGCATATACAGGTCTCATGGAAGCATACCTGGGGGTAGGCCAACCAAGTGGCTGACCTTCTGGCTAAGCAAGGCACATCAATGGCATTGACCTAATCTATGTCGTTACGCATCTTACACCCTGTTTTTGTATTACCAAACACGCTTTTTTGTATTTGATTTATCCATTTGTATAGCATTTTTTGCTATTGTGCGACATCCTCGGTGGCTGTTTTTGTGGCCCAGATGTGGGCAGTTCTTGTATATTGTAAATTCTTACACTTAATACAATGTTAACGGTTCCAAACAAAATTATAAAAAACAGATAAAAAACGAGAGTTACTCAAGCGATCTCAGAAGTTAGAACACGTTACACACCTTTCCAACCACTGCAGATAGCCATGGTGCAAGGGGTCCAGAACATAGATCAATAAGAACACTGGCAGCTTTTGCCTGATGATGTGCAGATAAACATTTTAGGGTAAGATTAGGCAGAATAATAATGATGAAAAACTGAAATAACTTTAAAACTACTTGTACGATTAGTAAAGCTGAAATTCAATAAATAAGTTCAAAGAAAGTCATTAATAATATTCAATTTGAATATTATAGTGGAGTCGTAGAAATAAAAAGTTTTAATTAATCCAAGCAAAAGGAAACTGATACAAACATGTGCAGGTGAATACGATGATAGATACCCAGCGCAGGCTTCGAGAAGGGGCCTGTATGTGGATGACATTGACACTGCCACAATCTGCATGCAGAATATTTTTTTTTTTTGGTGTAAGTTCAATTTGCAGTTCACTATAATAACCAAAGAAGGGGCATGCATGGTATTTTCTCATGAAACAAGCTTGAATTATATCATCAAAATCCATCAGATGTGACCTGTGAAAGAGCATGCTGAACCAAGGGCTGTTTCCACGGCAAGAAACTGTCATCAATATGCTCTGTAGAACTGCCAATGGAAGGACGAAGTGCTACATGAAAACAGAAAAAACATATTAATACATTCACTGTATCTTAGAAGCTCAGTCAGACGGTGGTAAAGGGGCAAGAATACTGCAATGCAATGGACTATGGAAAACCATAGTCCGTGGGGGACACTACCACGATACTGTTTGATGAAATAATGCAAAATGGAGGGTCATTTCCTGTTCTGGTTCTCTCCACCATCTATTTCATTGAATGGCAACCGTGATTTTCCAAAGGCATTGTATTGTTGTATACTTTTCCAACATTTAAGAGGTTCCAAGATAGCAAAATTATTTCCAGGTACCATTACCTGGTAGCAGTGCTTGTACAAGTGGCAATACAGACCACAAGTCTGGTCTACCATTAGCCAATTTGCTGCAAAGAGGAGGCTGCAAAAAATCAACAGACTCAATAAGAAACTTCTGCCACTTTGGCATTTCCACTGGTTCGAGCCCCTTCTGAATGTCATTATAAAAAATTTAAGCTTGCCATAAAGAACTCAGAAACCGACACAGTTTCATACCTGTGAAGCACAAGCAAAGAGAACATGCATAATCCCCTCTTCTACAGCTGCAATATCCAAAATATTAAGACAAGAGGTATCCCATGAATCAACAGGTATCTTAAACTCATCTCCAAATAAGCTCGAACAATCCATCAAAGAAATATGAGCAGATGCATCTGATTTTTCTGTCTCGACAGAAATTGACGAACTTGGTTGTTCACAAAAAATAATCGAAGCTTCAACTGAAGAAATAGGTTCCGTTAACCTCCATAGCACTCTGGAAGCCTGAATTATGACACACAAAAACCAAATGCCAGAGGGTGGGTTCAATTTGGATGTGAAAGTGGAAACTTCCAATAAAGTCGAAAAGCCAACTTCTGACCCTTACCAGTCGAGAAACAAGTCCAAGGTGAGGATCTTTATATGCCTTTCTGAGCAACATAAACACAGCATCTGGACGAAAAGCCACAATGCTGGCAGTAGGTTGGGCAACCTGTGATGGACTGCGCGATCGCCTGGGCTGGGCCTGAAAAACAAAAAGATCATCTGTTATTCCAGTTCCATCATCGATCACACTTACCATTCCAGCTCCATAACCTATGATTATAAAACATGTAATTTTATGAGGTTCGTCATCCTTGGTGCATTATAAGGTTTGCATCCTTTTAATTGTACATTGGACAAGCCAGATCTGGGCCACTGACTACTTTGGTTCGTTGTGTCAAGCTCCAATGCAAAATCAGGTTTTGGAGGAATAATATAATATTATTTTGTATAAATTTTTGGGAGTAAAATGTATCTCGAGCAATCTCAAGATTGAACCTTTTGGAGCATCATCCATGAAGATATTAAAGTTGCGAAGCCGTAGTTGATGAATATAATCAGTTTCAGGGTTAGGTATAGTCGGTTATCATAGATCAACCTAATTGATGCACAATATTTCTATCTAGATTTCACTCTTCAGAAATGGAAAAATTTTTATCCTTACAAATCAGACGATTAAGGATTAATAACCTAGCAACTAAGTTTGAGGTACAACTCTCCATCTGTATGCTACATGATTTAACATTCTAGACTATTCCCATGTTATAGACAACACAATCTAGTCAAAATCCTGTTTTCTAAGACATTTATTAATGCCAAAAAGAAAACCAAAATACACTAAATGGTGGAAAAAATTAAGTACCTCAAAGTTTGACGAAACCATCAAAGTTATGCCTTGGCCATTTCTTGAAGTATCTGAATCAAGGAAGCCACTGGCTGACTTTGCAGCTTCCCTAGAAATTAGAAATATATTAAATCACATTAACTTAAAGCAAATGTAGTGTATCACCCCAAAAAGTGCAACTATATAATGACATCACATTTCATCCTATGACCATTACATCCAAAATGTCTCACATAACAATCTAGTGATCATTGCAAGATTGTCATAGTTCATGGAAAATTATAACACATAATGTAAGGCACTCTCAAATAATTATGAAAAGATCAATACAACATAAGGGTCACGTAAGCAAATGTCCAACAATAGATAAAGCATCAAGAAATTCATGTTAAAGTTTTTACTTGGGACCTAGTTTTCACACCCCTTTTTTAACAACAACAACCATTGTACAACTCAGACATTCATCTTTGCATGTGATTGGTCTGGATTATGTGAATTAATGCAATGGCTAAAAAATGGTCATAAATACTAGCCCCCTTCCTTTTTTTGATAAGTACCTTCTTCTTCTTCATTTATAGCATTTATGAGCATGTGCACGTGTGTTCCCCAAAGTAATATAGTGCGATAGACTAACCTTTCGGTCACGATATTAAGAATAGGATACAACGGACCAGCAAGCATTGCAAGAAAGCGTGTATTGGACTCTGATGCTTCTGAGTAGTTGGAAAGATCAGACTACATTTTCAAATAGCATATTCCAATCATTTCACCATGAAAAAGTCTCAAGGGCAAAGACCCAAAAAAAAAAAAAATTAAATAGTAAATATAATGTTACTTCAAAAAATGCTATAAGAATCTCACAAGCATACCTCAAGTTGCGGAAGAAATGCTTGCAATCGACTTGTGATGTCTTGAAGCAACTACGGGCTAATAAGCATTAGCAGTCACATTGATATCATGGTAATGTAGATGAAATGGCTAAAGGATAGAAGAATCATATAATTGTTATAATGCTGCAGTATCAACCTGTAGATGCATGTCATGAGGCTCTTGCTTGTGAGACATGATATGCGGCAACAAGTAATCAACCACTGGTTGAAACTCAGGCTCTAATCCAGCAATAGAAACTCCAATCAGCTGCCACAAAAATGCAATTTTTTTATTTATTTTGAATAAGCATATTAGGCCAAATGGAAAGACAATATAAGACATGATCACTCATGTACATAAAAGCATTTTAAAAATATAATGAAAGTTTTAGATCATTTTCCACACCAGAGAAGCTTCAAGTCGGTAAGTTGATGCAAGGAAGTTTGTCTTACACAAAAGTTTAAGAACATTTCCACCTTCTTAATATAAACTTATAAATAACGCAATAACCTATAAAAGTTAAAAGAATGAAAAAATGCCCCAGAGACAGTTTACTCCATGCACCACTAAGAGAAGACATTCTTCTAATACTGGCGCCACATTTGATTATTAACAAATCAATGCTCATAAAGAGGATCACCTGTATGAAAAAAATAGCAATTGGATTCCCTCGCAAACAAGAAATCCGTACATATCTGCATGGGGTGTAATTTACTGGATACAACATATCTCGCCGAGGAGCTTCACAACGTGGACGAACTTTCACAAATGCCTCGGGCTGAGAAAACAGCAATTACTCATGTCATAAAAGAAGCAAGCAACTGGATGGCATTTTTGCAATAGTTTCCAATAATTAACACAAACTGCGTATCCATGTCACAAGACGAACTTAAAAAAAATCATATCTATGTCACAAGACAAACTAAAAAAAAACATCTTTTTCCACATAAATTGAATGTGGCACTCCAAACTTCCAACATGAATGTATAAAATCCTTGCTCATCCAGCACCCATCCTCTCTTCATCCCCAGTTTAAAACATCAAATGGAGACACTCTCTCTCTCTCTCTCTCTCTACTCTCGTACTCTC